TTTTTTTTCCTTTTGTAGTTCTTGTCTTCGCTGTAATTTTTGTATAAGAAGAGTTGAAATTCGCCCAAGTTTTAGGGTAGAGATCGGCTCGAATAAAATTAATAAAATTCGAATTTGATCAAATATATTCTTTGATCCGGAAAGTCCCTCATTCGTATTTCCCACCCATAACCAATAAACCCAAACCCTTTCTCTGCCAAATCTTACCCGCCTCTGCCTTGTGGGTGTTGGTTGTGTGGTTTTTGTTAGTTTTATCCCGGCCGCATCTTCGTGGTGACAATCTAGACCCGTACGTTTTCTAGACGTTGCCATCAACACTACCTCGATTTGTCTTAACACTCGTTCGTTTGATAATATTTTTTATTTTTTCTAACTCAGAAAAGTTAGCCGTTGTGTCGGTAGGCAGTGAATAGTTGTAGAAATGTTTATATTACACAGCTATTTTGTAATGCATTATGATTGATCAAACATTTTGAATTATCATCATGGCTTTGGGAATCATGACTAAATCTATAGTGTTCTGTAAAAGATTTAGATTTACTGGCAGATCGAGTTCGAATCCATAATTTATTAGATTCTTCGAATCCGAATCCACGTAGAGGATCCAATCCGTTAAATTTGCATTGGATAAGTCGACGAGATGCCGCTCGGCTTAGGATAGTGAACGTTTATAATAAATAAATAAAAAGGAATGAGGGAAGATAAAAGAAAATGAGAGGTGTTTATATGTAAATAAATATCAAACAATGATAATGTATTTAGGTTAAACAGATGAACAACGTGAGTGATCTTTTTTATGTTTCTAGTAAAATTCGCTGATAGTTATTTCACCGACAATCTAAATATAACCAACACTAACTATAAATCAGACAATCCTAACCTAAATAAGGCCAACTTTGTCGGTGAAATTGGATATGTTTTGACTGCTTCGTTCTTGGTTGTAGAGTCAAACTTACACATGAATTATGCAGATAAATTAACAAAATCAGTTGTCACAGGCAAAAAGTGATATTTCCGAAAATAAAGAAAGCTTGAATGCCAACCGATTTAAAGATGAGTCAATGGAAAGAATAAAAGTGGGTCACGCAGTGTAATGGGCTTATTATAGTGTAATGAAGATAGTTAAACCTCTCTCTATTAACCTCTAAAGTTGTTATTTAAGGAACTTGAGTTGGTTACGAACTTACGCACACTAACGTACGATAATTCCCTTTAATTATCCGTATAAATAAATATAACTATCGAGAACAATATTTTGGCTTTCTTGTCATAAAATTTGCACATCTCAACGAACTTTTAAAACTATCGCGTTAGAATGCTATACATAATAAATAGTGTAACAAAGCTACCGATACAATCAAAAACAAATTTTAGGTCATTATCGAAGTGACAGGTTACGCCTAACTATTTTTAAGATAATTACAAATTATCTGTTTGTTACGTTAATTATTACAAGTTATTTTTGCTATGCAATCATGATCGGAGTCGGAAAATCAAGCCACCGTGCCGTGTACACTATTACTAGTGCATTAGCGGTATTTGTACATGTGACCTAATTAGTCGAATTTTGTGTACTTCCAGTGCTTAAATCGATCACATTCAGCAGTTATTTAGCATTTCATGCTCCAAGACTATAATTATATGTATATTAATTATTGTTGCGGCTGATGCTGAAATTTAGAGTCCCTGTTTAAATCTATAATACCTACTAAAATTCACATATACTTTTTTTTTACTAATAACACTAACCCTAAACCCTAACCTAACCCTAAAAAAACCCCCCTAACGAAAAGGCCCAAAAATTTTTTAAAATTTCATAATAAAATAAGTCAAATTTTCAGCATCAGCCACCACAATTATTGTTATGTTTTACTAGCTTAGATTTAATTTAATGTTAAAGCCAATTTATTAGTTTTAAATATATATATACTATCATAATATCCGAATTAAGTTCACACTTTGTAATATTAATCCAACCCCAACATACAGTATTATACTGTAACATTTAATTTTTAAGTGTTTCAAAGTTAAATTAAAAGAATCCATTTTTGTGAAACTAACAGTCAAGCACGTTTAATTGTCCGCGTTTATTTATTTTCTGTATATAAAATTTTTAAATTATTGTTTTTTTTTTTAATAACGATCAACATCATTCAGCCTAAAAATATGAAGCAAGTTTTAGATCTCAATTCTTTATTTGCTTGCCAATGATATCTCTTAAAATTAGTTAAATTCTTAGCATATTCATCTTTCGGAGTATTTTAGTATCATTTTCTGAATTATAATATTTTTAGCATGTCCATCTTTCGGAACTGTAATATAGGTAACTCGATACGTCATAATTCGCATGATATCAAACTATACAGCTATATCGATCGATATTATTTTTGAATCCAGACCAAAATGTTATTACGTCATATTTAAAATTGGTCCGGGTTCAAAAATAATTACCCATTAGGATGTTTGCTAACAAAACAACTATGATTTATAAGCGAAGATCGTAGAATATTTAACGACGGTATTGATAGTAAAATGAAGAATAAATTACATAATACTATATGTAATGTATAGTAATATGAAAATAAAAGATTATGGACCCAAAATGTATAGAAATCATTTGAGGCTCACAGGGGAAAAAATGAAACTTCGTACTTTCAAGTTTATTATCGTAAAAATATGATTAGTGATATGTATAGTATATGATTACGTATCATATATGTTACTCGGGACCAAATCCGGTAAATAGTTCTTGGCTACGTACGTAGCTAAAAAGTGAAAGACAGGCATTAAAATTTTAATATAGGTGACACATTTGTTCTTTGAAATAAACTGTATAGTATTTACAAATTTCACTTATCAATTTAAGATTCGATTATTTATATAAATTGCATATAACGACTATTAGGTAATAGGGGGTTTCAGAATTAACAATAAGTGGCGTATTTCGAAAATAAGTAATATTTTTTAAATAGTATTCTTTTACTATGTTTAATTATAAATCGGAAAAATAAAATAAGATTCTCTGATTTTTATTATGAAACCCTTAATGTGTATCATTAAGCGTCCACGGAAGCGAACAGACGTACGTAATTCACGTGATATTGTTGATTTGACCATTCGTAATTACAAATTCAATTTTTAGGTTCCTTATTTCTGAAGTCCGATGTCTTCTGAGATTGAAAATAAGCATAGAAGATTTCCAATGAACATATGATCCTTACAGGAGATAATTATACGAGCCCTAATTCTTGTTTTTGTTTATCGTTATTGATTGGAAAGACAACTCAGTAATTCCAATAAGTATATAACATTTATTAACCAATCAATAACAATTAGTTATGTTTCCAATAAATGGATTTTTGCTTCCAATCTTTCAGTCGACAGCACTGGTACGTACTTTATAATATTGTTGTACATACGCGTACTACGTACGTAAGCTTGTTTTTTCTTTTTGGTACATACGATGAAATTCCAGATTTTAATTGGTGAAAATTTCGTTATAGATCGGCATGCATACATAATTCAATACAAATTATGTACGGTTAGTCTAGAGTTTGTTTCACCACATTTATAAGAAAAATAAACCAAGAAAACACATGCAGTTTGTGTATCTTTTATTGCTTTTACTCACTTTACTCTTCAATTTTTTAATATGCAAGAAGTTGAAGTCCCTCCTAGAGATATTTTCGTTCACTATATCAATGTACCAACTGGAAAAACTATTACATGGTCCTTTTCTACTAAGAAGAAAAATATCTCTTTTGGTTTATACCAAAGAAAAGCTACTGGTAACAATTCGATCGCAGCTTCAAGTCCAACGGGAACTTTTAAGGAAGAAGGATCCAATTTATCTTCTATAAAACATACAATTATCACCCCAAAATCTTCAACTAAAAGTAATTATTCTGTTAGTCTTAAAAGCAAAGCTTCTTTAGAAACAATCAAGCCTGAGGATAATGATGAATCAAACGAAGGTGATGTTGGTTCTACTCTGGCTGATTCGAATTCTGTTTCTGTAAACGACCTTCCTGTGGCAAATCGGGGACGTAAGAAAGCCGGTTCTACGCTAATTATTAAAGATCCTGATTTAAAAGAGATATTACCTATAGAACATTATAATTCTGCTCTTAACACAATTAAAGGCAGTTATAAAGTAACTGAAGAAGGAACTTATTGTTTATGTTTCGGTAATAATATTTCGTTATTTACTCTCTAACGTTAATTAATATGCTATTATGTTTATCTAATTTTAATCTATTTATTTTTCTTAAAAGATAATTCGTTTTCTCGGACTACTCCTAAGTCTTTATCACTTTCTGTGGCATTAAAAGATGGTAAGCTGTTTTAGAAATTTAATTGGTTTTACCACAAAATCCCGAAAGTACCTAATACCGACAAAGCTAGCCGGCATTAATTATTATGTTCTTTCGGGAAAATGGTTTTGGGATTTTGTGGTAGAACCATTTAATTATATATCATTCAAATTTTTCGAATATTTAATACAAAATTTGAAATTTATGCAGATTTAGATAATGACCAAGAGGAATCTAAACCAGATATATCTGGTTGGTTATTGAAAAAAAAGAAGAAAAAAATGCAAGGTTAAAATCCTACTTATAAAAATCTATTTATATGTAAATCTAAAAAAAAAAAATACTTTTCTAATTTATAAATTAATGATTATATAGGTTGGGCAAAACGTTGGGTCCAAATTGACAATGGTATACTTTCATATTATCAACACCCTAATAGTCTTTGTCGAGGGACGATACATATTGCTCTTTCAACCATTTCTTCTAATCAGTCTTATCGTGCAATACATATGGATTCTGGAACTGTGACATATCATTTTAAAGCGTTCACTGACGACGAATTTGATGAATGGATGACCGTTATTCGTAAATACGTAAATCTTTCTAATGAAAGACAATTTTATGATCCTGAATATCCTAGAGCCACTTCTCGACAATCTGGTGATTTCGAAAGGCGACAGAGTTTATACTTTAAACGGCAATCCTTGATGGAAAAACGACAAAGTATAAATAAAAATGGTGACATTCCAAGTTATTTCATTCAAAATAATTTAGATGAGGATCTTGGAAAAATTTATGCTGTATTTAATAATATGGAAAATGAGTTCAAAAATATTGAAAGTGAATTAGACATTTTTAAAAATGCTATTGAAAACCAGGTTCCCAATGTTCATTCAAAATCTACTCAACCAAGTCCGAATATTGAAGGAAAACCCCGTAAAAAATTTACTCTACCTTTACAACGAGGTAATTAAAGGAATCGGAAAAATAAAATAATATCATAAAGTATTTATCACTGACATCTGTGGTGCACCTATTTTTAGGATCAACTATAGTTCAAACCGAACAAGTTATATCACCTTCCCAGTTGCCATTAGATCAAATTTATGAGAAATTATTTACCAACATTAAAACTCTAAAAAAAGAAAAAGATCAAGCATTTAATTTGTTGCGTGCTGAAATTGAGAAATGGAAGGCAATGGAATATTCTTATAATAAACTTGTAACTGAAAATGCCGATTTGCGCAAGTCTCTTTTTATGGCAGATAAAATTGATGAAAGATTTGAGAATGTGCATCTTGATGAAATGTCTGGAAATACTGATATTAATGATATAAAAAAACTCAAAACTATATCGATGAGCACGATGACCACTCATTCAGATATATTCTTTGATGCCGAAGACATTGACTTGACTGAAAATCTTTCAGCAACTGAAAGTGAAGTAGATGCCACTAATGCTAATATTAGTGACGAAGAAAGTGATTTAGATATGTCTTCGCAAATAGATAAGCCTTCTATAAAAGATGTATCTAATACTGATAAACCAACTATAATACAGAGAAGAGCAGTTCTTCCTGCCCCGCTTTGTAGTGAAGATGTCAGTTTACTTTCTATTTTGAGAAAAAATGTTGGTAAAGATTTGTCAACAGTTGCAATGCCAATTTCTCTTAATGAACCCATAAATATTTTACAAAATTTGGCGGAAGCTCTAGAATATAGTGAATTATTAGATAAAGCTGCAAGTCTGGATAATTCACTAGATAGATTGATTCATGTAGCTGCATTTGCAGTATCAGGATATGCTTCAACCTATTACAGGACTAGAAAACCTTATAATCCTCTTCATGGTGAAACCTACGAATGCGTTCGACCAGACAAGGGTATGGAAACTATAATTTGAAGTGATACAATTTATTCTTTTACGTTAAATAATATTGTATATTTGAATAGGATTTAGATATATTTCCGAAAAAGTTAGTCATTATCCACCAATTATGGCCGTAAGTATGTTTGATTTTTTTGTTTCATTTTAGCAAATCATCTTAAATTTGTAAATTTTATAGTGCCATGCTGATTCTCCAAACTGGAGTTACTGGCAAGATTCGAAAATCAAAAGTAAATTCTGGGGTAAGTAATAAACCTGTAATTTTATTTTTTAAATCTTAATCTTTATTTTTATTAATGTTAATTTTAACCTATTGGCTTTAAACTAATCTTTTGATTTAGGTAAATCGATGGTATGCATAAAAATCATTATTATTGTATTTTTGCGGAATAACGCCCATGAGCATTATTTCGAATTTTGGCCCGAATTAAACTTAATTCGGGCCAAAATTCTAAATTACACCCCTGCCATTATTCCGCGAAAATGCGGTATTGGAATTTGGGACAAAATCCCGAAAACCAGATTCCCGAAAGAGTATAATACCGACAAAGCCGGAACTAGCTATAATGTTGGTCGATTTAGTCAGTGCTATGTACTTCGGGAATTTTGTTTTTCGGGATTTTGACCCAAAATCTTAATATTAATAAATATATATTCTTAATCACCAAACAATAATACCCTTTGTAAAAATATTAATAATGATAAATAATTATGGTAGGAACTTATACCACTCGGTACAATACACATAGCAATATCAAAATATAATGATCATTTCACATTTTCGAAACCTTCTACATGTGTGCGTAACATGATATCCGGGACAAAATATTTAGAACATGTGGGAGTAATGCGCGTAGAAAATAAAACGACTGGAGAAGCTTGTGAAATCAAATTTAATCAAAGCGGAATGTGGAGTAGTGCACCAAAGTGTGATATAGTCGGTTTATTGTATTCTGAAAGTGGTGAAAATGTTGGAAAAATTGGTGGTAAATGGAATGAGATGATATTTCATGAAAAAGGTGGTCCAAATCAATTGGAAGTAATTTGGAAAGCAAACCCTCCATTATCAAATTATGATCAATATTATGGATTTACTCAATTTTGTGTAGAATTAAATGAGATAACACCAGATATTGAAGGATATTTACCAAATACTGATACTAGACTTAGACCAGATCAAAGACTTTTTGAGAATGGACGAATACAAGAAGCTGAAACTGAAAAGCTTCGTCTTGAACAAAAACAAAGAGAATATAGAAAATTGCTTGAAGATAGAGGTGAAGCATGGGTGCCGCAATGGTTTAAATTAGAAGGTGAGGAGTGGGTTTATAAGGGTGGTTATTGGGAAGCAAGAGAGAATAAAACTTTTGAAAACAAACTTCAATTATGGTAGTTTATATTGTATTGCCCAAAAATTAGTATAGAATTAGTTATAAAATAATAGAAAAAAATTAATTATAAACAATAGAGAAAAAATTTTGATTAACTATTTTATTAATTTTTTATATATTTAATTAATTTATTAATTTGAAATAAGTATTTTTATTATTTTTATTTTTTTAATTAAATAAGCAAATATATTTAAATTTATTAATAGGTATAATTTTATTTTTGTACTACCAGTAGTACAATTAAAAAAATAGTTTAAAAATCCAAAATATTATATAATTAAATAATTTTTAAATACAAAAAACTGATAATTATACAAATATTATTTAGTAAAAATTTTTAATAGAAAATAACTAATTATACACTATGTAATATATACGGGTATTAATTTGCAAATCCGTGTAGCATGCCAATTAAAATTTTTACAAACAAAAAATTAAATCCTTGTTTATAGTTAAGATAAAGGTAAGGTTTGGAATTGGGGTGAAAGTTAGTTTATACCAAAATTTTGCTAGAGATTTTTTTTTTATTAAAAGCCAAAGGTGGTTTTATAATCGAAGTTTTGAGAAACAATAATACCCCGTTGTATATACACTAGTGTACAAATAATAATTGTCTTTTTAATATTATTAATAAAGTTTTTAAATTAAAAATTTTTTATAAAATTGTTAATTTTTATAAATTTATTGTACTACTAGTAGTATACTATTAATAGTAATCTAAATAATAAAATTAATACTAAAATATAAACTAAATGTTTAATTATATAAAAAATTAAAAGACTTATTATAATTAAAAAAATATTATTAGTTATATTATAATAATTATTATTTATATTATAAGCTTTTTTAAAATTTATTATAAAATGGCAGACAACAGCCAACTGTCGACCAAGGGGGTACCGTCATGGTACAAAATTCTTAGAAAGTTAAGGATCCTGAG